GGCTTTGTTTTTACTTGCAGCTTAAATTTGGTACGAAAAATATTAAATCCAGATTATCAGCTGCTGAAGACATTAGGAAGTAAAATACCATATGATATTGCAGTTGGAATGAATGGTAAAATATGGCTAAGGGCTAAAACTATAAAAGAAACTATTGCTGTTGGAAATGCAATATTAGCTGCAGAGCTTCTGACAAATGAAGAAATCATTTCCATGTGTCATGATACGATCAGTGCTCTGAAATGAATGTAAGATAAGGTTTAATTAAAAGTATTATGAACCAATTTGATAAATGCTTCATTAGTGCTTGGTAAATGTAGTTAGAAGACTTACTAAACCTTCATTATACTGCATTTATGTAATGTGTTACCATTATACTAGGAAGCAGTTTACAGGTTAAAAATATACAAACCATATGGGCATGTGAGATATATTGCAGAGAATATCTCAGGGTTTTATTCTGTTTATATGCGTCACAACAAAATATGACTTCACTATTCATTTTTTCTATCCTTAAACTGTTGTGGCTCCTCAGTGTATGAACAGACTACAGTATACAGTAGGTGTCTATTTGTCTTAAGCATTTACAGTGATATTATGATCAAACTTCTTTTAAAATGTGTACTAAGTTTATTAGCAAAAACAAATATCAATAATAGTTAAACTGAAATTAAGTGGAACTAAGTTTTGTCACTGAACTGAGAATTGGAAACAGAAATATGTATAACAATGAAAAACAGAATGTTTGCACTGTGCTAATGCAGCTACTCTAAAGCATTGTTAAATAGTAACTGTTTTGTAAAGCAATACCAATATAACTTATGATTTTATTGAAAAATGATGGTTCATTCTACGTTGATCCTATCCAAGTAGCTGCAAAGTAGTTAAAATGAAATTCTACTCTTTGTTCATTTAATGTTTGTCATTGTCTTGTTTGTATTCAGTTTTATGTATTTAATTCCAGGAGTGTTCTTATACATAAAACAGTTTACAATAGATATGAACAGATGGCAGTAAACTAATTCAGTTTTATTATAGACTGATGAATATCAGCACTATTATGTATACAGAGGACTTGCATCTAGGACAGCCTATTTACAGATGACAGTGTCTATAATCCTAAGGCTTGATTGTGGAATACAGTCTCTACGCTCCAGTACTTCCAGACATGTTAAGTTTAAATGTAATGTTACTTTAAACCAGTTTGTAAATGCGGTTTAACAAACTGGTCTGCACCATAAATCCATAGTTTTAATACACCTCAATTCAGTTCATCTTCCAGAAATTGTTTAGAGTCTGTCAGATGCGCTGTATGTGTCTTGAAACTGAATCTTATAAGAGACTAAAAAACTGTTTGATCTGATACTTATGTAACTTTTCTAGAATAATTAGTTTGTTGAAAATAAATTTGTAAGTGTATAATTTGTAATAATTCTATTGAGTCTTGTGTCTTGTCTGCATTATAATGAACCAATATTCCACCAGGAAATGGACAGTGGCACCACAAACTTATCATTTATAAAATGTTTTATAATTTAAAACCTGGATGTGAAGCTTAAAAAATGTGAGCATTGTTGTTTCATTATATGGTGTATTTACTGATAAACTGTCATGCAACAGTCACAGGGACACCATTTTCATTACCTCTTAATAAAAGGTAAGTCTGATGTTATTCTTTCTATGGAGTGGTACTTATATTAGAAAACTATTTTAGCATTGAGTTATGCAGTTCCTGCTGGGAGCAGGGATGGCACAGTTGTGTTCCAGTTTATCAGTAAATGCACTGTACTATATAGTAGCTGCTACCAAATTGCATACCTCAAGGTCATAGTGAAATATAATGTTCCAACACACAGTAGATCCCCTGCCAGTGAACAGTTCAGAACTCACAGCATAACCAAGCCATCATCACTACTGGTGACTTATGGCTGTGTGGTAAGGGGGATAAAGTCCTTTCATGGCTGTGACGCATGCAATTTGGTGACACTACAGTGTATCCTCAACTTATTCTATGGGTGCCCAAACTGTAAAAGAAATGTCTTTTCAACAACAAAAAATCTGCCTGCATTGTGTAATTTTTGACATGCCTTTGTTTTTCACCCTCCAACATTGATACATCTGCAATTTATAGATAACTGTTTTGGAAATGAGACACACAGTATCCTCACGAATTAAGTAGATGGAATGACTGACAGTTTACTGGGAAAATAAACTTGTTCTGTACTAAAAATGACATCAAATTAAAAACACTAATATAATAATTATTATATTGATTAAACACAAACATGACGCAGTTAAGATATAAATTATATAATTGTCAAATAAATTGCGAGATGAATTATTATATTGATTAAACACAAACATGACGCAGTTAAGATATAAAAACACTAAATTTCTACTCTGAATGTGCTATTTTACAGTATCAGATTAAAGAAACATAACTGTTTATATTGGCTGTACATATATAGAGCGTGACTGCAATCAGCGATACCCTTTCAGCGTATCCTAAAACACAACGAAACCAAACTTTCGTCACCGTGACATAAACAGCATTCAAAACAGACTATTGTTATATTATATGAAAGCACTTAGCGTATTTAACTGGCAAAATTTACCATAAATGACAGGCGTACGCGAGCATTGATTATTTCGCCTACCCTACCTACCTATTCAAATCGGCTTGGCCTGTTCCGAACCGGTCCGGAACTGAATTGGATTAGCTCAAAGCCGGTGTGATGTAAATAGCTTTCATAGGTAGCCTAGGGGTCAGGCATTTTAGTCGGTAGTAACTTGGCGAAGATTTTGTACGCATCTTTAGCTTTCTTGGTAATCGCTACAGAAAATACAAATGAACGAACACAAATATATGTGGAATCACGCAGGAACTGCGCTTTTAATTTCGATTTGGTCGGATAGTTCGGTTCAAAAGCAACTTCGAGCTACTCTCAGAAATCAACCTATATGGGATGGTGTTGCGCGATGTATGATGAGGAAGGGATTTCGCGTAAATGGGAAACAATGTCGTACGCGAATAAAAAATATTCTTGTTCGCTACAGAGAAGTAAAGAAAACTGGGAACTTTAATGGCAGTGGCATTGAATCGTTTTACAATGATGTTGATCGTGTGATGACAGCTAGAAACCTGCAGGCATCTACAGGTACTTCTTCTCGTGGTGGGCCATCCACAGGTAATTACATAACTCGGTTTCGGTTGTTAGTTACAGATCACTAATAGAAGTAAATATATACGTATTATTCCTTCTTCAGATCCATTGGGATTGGTGGAGCAAAAATACAGCAATCAACATTCCAAGGAATTTATTAAACAAGAAATGGTGCAAGTGAATATCAAAGCGGAACAAAATTCTCCGCCGACTATTTCAGGTAGTCGTTGCCTTTAAAAGAAATAATTCTTGCAGTATTGCATTAAAAAAATTATTAGACCTGATTATCCTGTTCTGCCCCTCTCCCATTTTTTAGATGACAGCGTACAAGAATTACAAGATTTCTCTCAGGATTCTACCAATCAGCAGCAGTTTTTCCATGCTGTTGATGTAATGCTGGACGATGACCAATCTTCCTCTTCCATACATATGACGTCATCTACAGCGCGTCGTTCGCCTTTGTCACTCCTCCAATCAGGTAATGGGATATAAAGCATTGTTTAATTGAAACATACATACGCGCATGAAAGGATTAGATTAAAAAAATCGGGACTGAATCGAAAAGTACTCATATACCGTATGAACTAAAGGTTAACAATTCGGCTTCGTTTGTCAAAAACGCGTTTTTCCGTGTAGCCCGGTTTCCACTAATGTACAGTAGGGCCCCGCTTTTCGGCGAACCTGCTAATACGGCGCTTTTCAATTGCGTGCATATGCCCCACGCGCTCAACAGCTGAGTCAGAGAAGTGCGTCCGGTGCCATTTTATCGTCGCTGATTCAGTGTTTACAGCTACTACTGATATTCATTTTACTTTCATATCGTTTTTTTAGGCCTAGCGCTATTGTGCACTTACTATATGATAGTGTAAACATCTTATTAGGCTTTGATATGCATTTGGAAAAAGGCAAAGATCCGCTTTTCGGCGGGGGTCTGGTCCCTAACCTGCCATATATGCGGTGGCCTACTGTAATTGTTAACAGAGTTCGGCCATTGGACTGTTATTTCTTTTATGAATTAGACTCTTCCATCTTTCCCCCTTTTTTCCCAAGATAGAATTGAATATGGGGTCCGAGGGGTACAGTGGCTCACCTCTAACCCTTTGCAGAACTATATCTCACCTCCCCAACACACCTTCACGGCTTGGTGCTTAGGTAAAGGTACAATTTCACCTAAACTTTGAGATGAACTACAAAATCGGTCTGGCAGAATAGATAGAAAACTATTTCTGTACAAAATATAAACCATCTAACATAAATCAACATTCCATTCAGATGACACAACAGTAGCCCAAGATAATGAGATACATCTTGTGCAAGATAATGGTCATCCATCTCTACAACGGAGTTCACTACATTCTGGCTCCCACTCCAGGAATGGTGCGAGGTTAACAAATCAGTATTCCCGCCGAAGTACAATGCTCCGACTGGAACGGCTAGTCATGCGTGCAATTCGTGCTCAAAGTGATGCTGTTACAAAGATTTTAAATGTTCAGAGTGAGTTGTTCACACGAATGGTGGAAGCTGACAGAGAGCGACAAGCAAGAATAGAAACTAAGCTGGATCGTTTAATTGAACGACTGGATCAGAGTTTGTCTTCAGTATCAGCACCAACAGCAGCCAATAAATCAGTTGAGATAAACAGAGAACAAGATGCACAAATGAATCAACTTTTAAACAGACTTGACTGGGCTATAACTCCATCTGTACGTCCTACAGCTGTTTCAAGGCAGCTGGAAATAAGCAATAGAATTCAAGAAACAAAACTAGACAGTCTTCTAGACAAACTAGACAGATTATTACCAGCTCTGAATCCACAGGCATTAAAAGGTCAACATACAAGAGAGCAACTGCCAGAGCAGATATAAGTCATACACTACACTAGAATGTTGGTTTTGAGTGGCTTTATTAGGTTTTATCTTTACGGGGTCCGCAGTGGCCACGCGGTCTGAGGTGTGGGGCTTGTGCCGCTTGGTCACTGGGACCGTGGGTTCGAATCCCACTCAAGCCATGGATGTTTGTCCGCATTTTTCTGTGTTGTGCTGTCCTGTGTACAGGTAGAGGCCTTGCGACGGACTGATCCTTCGTCCAAGGAGTCCTACCGAATGTCTATAGATCAAGCCAATGAAAAGTTGGGACCTGCAGTGCTCAGGTACTTGAAGAACGGGTTGTTCCCAGTATCCCCACTATGTTTTATCTTTACTGTATGATTAAAAATATTGCCATAAGATATTAATGAAGATGGTGCACAGATGTGGATTCCCCATTTATATGTATTATGTATAGTACTGTTGGTCCTTTAGCACTGTGGTTTGGATTTACTTCCTCAAAAAGAACATCAAGGAGGAAACAATGTTTTTGTGCTCTGTATGCAGTTCCTCTGCAGCTTGCAGAAACAGTACCACAATCAGATTTCTAAATTTAGCAATTTTTTCTTATCACAATGCAAAACCTCCCGGCAAACTTACAGCTATAAAACTTATTTATTGGCATCTTTTAAATGTCCAACACTGAATATTAACCTTGAATGTTGTTATTCAAGGAATGTATAATACAGCCTATACAAAATGGAACCCACAGAAAGCACAGCCGTTAGGTACTTATATATAACAGTCATCATCTAGATCAGGCATTTGCAGCCTGCAGATATTATTTTGGCCTGTGAACTAGCAATTGTTACTTTAAAAATTGGCTATATCATACAGCGGTACTTCTTAATTTTTAAATAGCTGTTTTGATACTTATTTGAATTGCTACTTTGAAGTTCATGCTCCTGGATCCACACAACTGTTCTGCTGACAAAAAGTCCAAGTTAGTTATTTTCGTGAAGCCCTCACATGTTGGTCGGCCACATTCCCAACACCAAGAAGTTCGGCAGAATTCTCAGGCTGCTGAACAGATATGGTACACCAATAGTTGCTCTTAACTATTTATGTAGCTGACATGTCTCAAAACAGGAGTAAATTCATTCCATTCAATACAGCCAATTTACAGTTATGTGGAAACAAATACTTTTGCCTCAAACACACTTAAACATTTTGGCATGTTTTACTGGTAACCAGTGTTGAAACTTTCATACTACTTTGCTCAGTATCATGTCTGACATCATGCCAATGTTTTGGTATGTAACCTTTTCCACTGGTATGAGAACTCTTTTTTGTACAATACATTAATGAAGAGTGGATGAATGTCACATTTTTCAACAAAGGTGGACTGAAAGCTGATTTTTTGAATTAATAAAAAAGCTACCACACATTTCTTTTGTTTGAACATAATTTCTATCCTCAGGAGTGAAACTTAAAAACATTTTTAAACTTTGCATGAGGGAATTGCAGCTGAATCTTCAAATGGAGCAAATTATGCAATTAAAGTTGCAGTTTTAAAGGAAAAATATATAGAGAGCAATTAACAAATTAAATAAACACTTCTCAAATCATCTGTTACAGAATTTTATAAACTCTACCTCCCTTGAAATAGATTACATTCACCTTTACAGACATGCTCGAAGCCAGTATAGCAACTTGGCTATCATCAGAATAACCAAGATTTTTCTCTTTACCATATCAAGACTGGCTCTGGAGCCCTTCCATCCTATAATATAATGGATACTGGGGTACTTTCGCCAAGGGTAAAGCAACAAGCATGTGAAGCTAACCATATAATGCTGTGGTTAAGAATGCATGGAGATATACCTCCATACCCCATATGTATGCATGGGGTCGTACTTAGTTAAGCACCTGGGACAACTTATGAATTAATATTTATAAACTAATTCAGAGATGCCTCCTTTTACATCAATGTGCACACACGTAACAAGATAAACCACAAGCAATATAAAATTAAGTATCTTAAAACTCTCCTTAATTTCCAACTGTCCTACGAGCTTCGTATTCTGCAGGTGGCCCATGTTCTAAAATGGCTGCACACCTCTGATCTAGAAATTATAACAATTTATGTAGTACAAATATGTATTCAAGTAAGATACAAGCTCCTTGTTCTTCACTGTGTATTATTACCCCTGCATGGATCTTGCAACCTGTAAATAAAAATAATATATTATGATATTAAAAGGAAACACTGTCATATAGTTAAGCAGTGTTATACTACTGATGAAATAAGCAACAGAAACATATAAAATATTTTTCTACTTTGCTAGACTTCTATCTAGAAATCATTGAAACTGAATTTCAGTCAGTTTGTTATGCTACTGTGATGCATATTGGTGAACAGCACTAATAAATGACTCACACCCACAAGAAGTACAACTACTTCAATGACAGATTATTAATGAATGCACTCTAGGAAAGTAAATGCAATCTTGTACTCTTTCTTTCAATGTGAAGGCCAGCATGTTCTTTCCTGCAACACCAGAGCCTGCTTTGAGTCACAATGTGAACTACCTATTTGTTAGAACACCAAGAGCCCATACTTAAACAACCAAATCATGCACACAGCAAGCTAATAAATGCAAGCGCGGGCACACAATAAAAAAACAAACTAGAATTGTATTCTCGTGAACCTACTGACAAAGCAACACTTTTAATGTTGCAAGAGTTAACTATTAATGTGTTTCATGATAACAGGTACTTAAACTTAGTCGGTATACAATGAACTTTTTAAACTCTTAAAATTACATTGCAAGGGCTGGAAAAGATTTACCACTCACAGAGCAGCGAGTATAATTTATGCAATATAAAGCATTAATGTATGTGCGCACACAACACACCCTATCCAACTTAAAACTTTTCACCAAATGTAACAGCAAAAAAGATTAAATATTCCAAGGACCCTCCAACGCAACCAGACACTGAAGATGAAAGTCGTTGATACAGAGAAGAGGCTTAGTATTCTTTCTTGCTCTTAGTTTAGTACCTGTGTATTGTAATATCCTGATCAGACTGAATGGATACGTCTTGTGGGGTGAGGAAGACAAACTGAGAGTTTGTTTGCTGTCAGGAATGCGCCAAAAGTAAATCCATGATCACTCGACGATTCACTTTATCCTGAAATATAAAATAATTAACTAAAAAAGCAACAAAAACCTTAAAACAAGGACTTATAAAATCACCTACGAAATGTCAATGAACTGCATATGCAAGTATAACATTTATACAAAGCCTACATGTGTTCATACGTTCTACTTCCTATAAATCATGTGGCCTATTTATTTGTTCTACGTGATGTCTGGTGATGGCATAGCTTACAGTTCTCATACTGTTTACTCTGAATACCATGCATGGCACAGGTCATATTTGAGGATTATGTCTATGATACCTCAGTCTTTGTGGAAATCACTATATTAAAATTAAAATTAATATATGGTGTATACAGTCAACTATGAATTTGTGACTCATGGATTCAGAGTGAAAACCAAACTAGAGGGGATTTAGTAAAATGATTCTGTCAAAATAAATACATTAACATCATCACACAATTCTGTTGGGCATACACATTTGAAAATATGCAAAATACTAGGCAAGTAAATTGTAAAATATGGTACAAAAATCGATAAGGTGTAACATATACACAAGAAGAATACAAATAGACAGAATGGACGAAGACTGCAGACCAGATATAGCATGGAATTGAAACAAACAAGGCAGAGTTAAGAGGGAACCAGGGATATGCTGGGAAGGTGATAAAGGCATTAAGATAATTAATCCATGAAGATAAGAAAGTATAAATGAATGAGAAACTGAAAGCCACAAACAATCATTCAAGGCAGAATTGGCACAATGCTTGTATGAAGTACCACAAACTAATTTCTAGGTAACAGGAAACAAGAAGAACAGGATTTGCCGAGTCCTATTTCTCACTGTATTGTACTCTTTGCTGCTCTTACCATAAAGACATCAAATTCATCCAAGAAATAGAAAGGTGTTTCAATAGCATCCCAAAGGGCCATGATGAAAGAAACTGTGGAGTATGAACGTTCTCCTCCAGACAGGGACATGGTGTCTGCTACTGAACTGCAACTCATATAAATATATTCACACATGTGCATGCATGAGTGCACACACACACCACTTACAGAAAACTCACATTTGAGGTGCATCCACTAAAACTAAATTCATCACTGTAATCATCTCTTCGGAATTTCTTCAAGATGCTTTGTGCATTGTCTGATTCTCGAATTCTCTTCTCTGGACGGTAAGAGTTCTCAGATTGTGTCTTTTGTTCAAGTAAAGCTCCATTCACATTCATTTTTAAAAATGACCTACATTAAAAAACAAACATGTAAACATCAGAATCAGTAACATGTGAGAACTACATCTTTACTTCTTAGATAATTTCATAAAAATGTAACAAACTTAATTTCACAGTCTTCCTTGAGCAGTTGAGAGTCCATTGACATGTTCTACATCCTTTGGTTGAGTCCTAAGAAGGATCTATGGAATGTAAATAAACTCTACTCTACTTTACTGACTTTTTCAACACAACTTACATGCATAATATCTGTCTTACATAAACCGTACTTCTTGAATGAATTATCCTAGAAATAAGATATAATTTTCTTTCTGCTCCCTTATATCCAAACTAAGTAACCACATCTAAACAATTAATCATAAAACACACATAACATGTAGCTTAAACTCAAATTTTAAATATTTCAGTATTATGAGAAGGAATGGATTACTGAGTTATATCACCGAAGGCCAGGTTGAAGGAAAGAGAGGACTAGGAAGAAGATTGATACAGCTAACCGACGACCTTAAACAAGGAAAGAAGATGACGTTCCAGGAATTAAAGCGAGAATAGGAACAACTGGAGAGCCCTGTTTGGGCAGAGCAATGGACCTGTCGTAAGACAGAACACTTAATAAAAATAATAACTGCACACTGCATCACCAACATGGTCATCACATAACTACTCCTTTACACAGGCCCACCTGACTCAATTCTCATTCAGCTAGACACTAGATATATGTAATTTTTAATAGGTTTTATTTCGTAAGGAATTCATACTTGCAACAGTTTCAAGAATATACAAATATGCATTTTCCACATTTACTTCTAGTCAATCAACAAAATATTTTATATGATAACCATAAACACTGTTAAAATATGTTAACTTGGTAGAAAGAACGTCATCACAAACATATCTGGATATGTGAAGGCCAGAGTGAGCGAGCAATTTCGCATGATACAGGTCAAATGCCATTTTAGATCAATGAAATCTAAAATCCTACAATGAGCTGGGTTTATGGCTTGAAATAGAAATATATGGAATTCACACTGAATTTCTGTGAAGAAAACACTTGGTAAACATGTATGCAACAACCCAGAGGACAGTCATCTTCAACAAGTATTGTATTTATGCTATGACATACATACTTGGGTTAGGCCTATAAACGATCTACAGAATTCAAATAAATTCAATACTATTCTACAAAATTGGATGAAGTAAATGTGCAATAGAGTTTTTTTAAGATGTGAAAAATTACTTATGACACATATTCCAAGGAGAATAAAAGCAGTAATTGTTTTGCACGGTTTTTAAAGTATGTGTAAAAATTATACTAATATTAAAAAAAATTATGATTTCATACTGCCGTCTCACCTCTATACATATAACAGGAAAATATTATAACAAATCTACAATAAAGCAATCTAACCTGGATAATAATAACAGACAACCACCCTAACTGTACAAGCGTCCTACTCATCCGTTGCTTGTGAGGCAAAGTGAAAGTGGGTTCTGCGCATGCGCTGGTGATGTATTCCTTACCTAAGAACATTGTGCCATGTACCGTAAAAGTCAATCTCAGGAGAGGCAACTGTTCACTGGTTCAGAAATTGAAGTACTTCTTCTTAATATATTGAAAAAGCGTAGGATATATATATAATGGAAAATACAATATAATGTACTTTTTCACTGCCTCCCTTGTATCATATTCAGAAGTGGTAGGAGGTTGGCAGACTTAATCATCCATAAAAAAATGGCCACTCATGAGAATTAAATACTATTTAAGATATTTCCATCTGAAGCATTTACGAATCCTTGCCCTGGCAATGACTGTATTCTCATCTCTCCTATTCTAATATATTTAAAGCTATGATAAAAATTACTTAGAAGTTATAACTTGTACTTGAAACACTTGATGTCAGGTTGTACACAGTCGTGTGCATCACTTTTATTACAGCAAGATAATGAGGCAAACTCAGCCACAGTACTGACCAATAACATTCATTCCTATAAAATTACAACTAGAAAAATAGGTAGGGAGAAACACTCAGCAATGTCTAAATCCGGCAATAGAAATATATGGATGATATAAATATTTGTTATTCCATGTTGGTATTCTGGGTTGTAATGCAGCATGGACTTAGGTCCTGAACATAGAGGCAGTATATTCCTTTGTTGGTATCTACTTACATAAGACCACATGGTATTTAAACTCAGAATGACATCTTAACTGCCGTGAGAACCTTATATTTCATATGCTATTCCAAATTATACCCCTTGAATGTAATTATGAATTTATTTTGCAACACATTACATTTGATTAACTGATTATGTTAGCTGGCATTTTTAACACTAGTGCAAGTACAGAAGTAAGAGCTACTGAATTCCATGCTATGTATGTAGTTGCTCTATAAGAAGGAAATACAGGTTCTGGATGAATGGGATTTTTCCAATGATTTTAGGTTTCTGAGCCAATAAGTGTAAAACTGTTGCTGTGGTCTTTAAAAAATGCTTTATGCTGTACCTAAATGGAAGATCTAATTTTCATTTTATAGAATACTTGTTTTAATAAACTTGAAAACCATCATCTAAATGACAATAAAGTGTGCATTTTGTAATATAGTGCTCGAGATTGTGAAATTTATTTGCCACACATATTTCCCTGGATTTGACTCCTGTGGAGTGAAAATTGCATTCACAAGTTCTTTCTGTCACAGGAAACATGCTTCCCATTTTAAAATTGAAATAAGATTTTCATGGAAAAATTGAACCCATGTTGCATTATACTGAAACAAATATTAGATAAAAGTAAACTTGCCACAAAAGGGTTAATACATTTTACCAACAAAGAGGCATTATTCTGATAAACAGCTGGTTGACATGCAATTATAACTTCCATTTGTAGATCAAATTACTTCTGGCACAGTATAAAATATCACTAGTTTTAATAAATAGAAAACAGTTCAGAGTTAAAATTCAATTAATATTGTGGTTAGCATCATACCATGCACATGTTTGTATTGAAATATACACATTGAACATAATGAACACAAGTTTGAAACGTCTTGGAGGATTACAATTCTAAAATATACCATCTCTCCTGTTTATTATGAATCATGATGAGGATTTCAGGCAATTAAAAGTGTGATACTTTTTTTGTACATATACTATACTGTAGAAGCTAGTGTGATGGCAACTTTGCAAGCACATTAACAGCATGAGGTTCTATGCTCAATTGATTAACATATTAAATCAGAAGTATCAAGCACTCTAGGGAATACTTTATTGAAACATCATATATTCCTATATATATATATGAACTGTTTTTAAGTATGTCTATCAGCTTTGCTACAATAACGAAAACTGTCAGATGTACAATTTGTTTTATATTTAGAAATAAAAGTATCTGGATAGATATATAATATGAAGAATTAAAGTTAACAAAGAGTGAATCAATTGAAGGCCTTGCTGTTGTTACATGCTGCTGTGTTCCCATTAATTCTTTTACAGGCCATTCTAATTAAAACTGGCACCACACTTGGGACAAATATTAACTGCAATAATTTTTCACAGAACCAGTTTTTTTATCAATACACCAAACACTTGGTGAAATTTTGTCTGAATTTACAGGTTGCTTGAGGGCAAGAATTTTATTTTTTTGTGTACACAGCATTAGTACGAAGTATGTACCCACTATTAATTCCAAATACAAATATATAAATACTAGGAAAGTAGGACAAAAACTAATGTAGCTGTGTAGTATTCAACTTGTGTTATGTCACAAATAAAGATGAAAATCTAAGAGGAAACTACAGTAATTACAGGGCTACCGACTAGAGTGACAAAAATAGCAAAGAAAGAGAAAAAATTACTATGCTACAGTACCTGTTACCTTTTGTTTGTACATGTTAACTGGAACTACAACACACAATATCTGGACAGGGAGTCTTGTTATGATACACGTCCTTGCATCCCAACTATCTGTTCCTTCCACTGCCTGCCAAGTGTTTACATCAAAATTGGAAAAACACTACAGTGCAGACCAGCAGAAACTAGCAACACACAAGCCTTCTGTTCTTAACAGTTTCTGCAGGAAACTGAAAGAGTTATAAAAAAATCGGAACCAGCATACATATACAGGTGGCACAAAGGAGATCCTAAGTAATTGTTACCTATAAAGGCTTCACCTTGGAGCATTCTAACCACCTTCGCTCTTCAATTTAACACCCTGTATGGATTTAATAAGTGCTTTACATCTTTATGCAGAGGCTCAAATTTCTCAATTGTTTTCCTAAATTATAATGGGTATACGATGCATTTTCTTACCTTTTCTGACAAAAAAACATGCTGATGTAAACAGTTCAACATTCCACCAAAAATCAAAGTGGGAAGTAGAAAAACAGAATGTTTAGAATTTAGTCTAAACAATTAAACAGCATGTAACAAGAACACTTAAGCTGTACTGTAATTGCCACACTTTCTTTCTTAAAACAATATATTTATAAAAAAAATTCACATCAGTGAATACACCTTATGCAACATAACCAACACAAAAGGCAACATGAAATTTAGTAACAGTACAGAATCAAGACAGGATAGCCAAGTGTAAGTTAAGGTTCCGATATTAGGCATCAATTTTAATACTACTAGTCCACTGAAGTATCTAAAAACGAAAGTAAAACATTTTGACAATGTTATTCTTACCATCCTGCGTATGTCACAAACTTTCTACATCTTATACTTTTATGATCATTATGTGCAGGAGGGTTTTCAAATGTTCACACTGTCAATCTGATTTGCATACCCCTTTTTCAGTGCCCTTTCTCTTACAAGCAGTTCTTGGTACATACTCTTGACGGATTCAATGGACACTTATGCTTTCCTCCCTTCCCTGTCTGACTTGTTGGTGCAAAGCGTCTGACATGGCAATGCGCAACACAAAAGGGGGAGGACATTCCTTTTTATACCAAAGCAAATTAAAGTTCATAACATTATGTTTGTATATAAATTAGGATACAGAAACACTATATAATAATTATATAACAGATACAATGCTAAGCTCCGTGTCCACTGTATTCATGTGTTGACCAGATGAGTGTGGTTAGCGACATTCCCACACCTTCACAGTTTGATCTACGCTGCCGGAAATTACATACGGATGAGTCTTGTGGAAATCTGAAACAGAGAATGGTTCATGACTGAAGCGGCTAACTTCTGGGATGTATGACTGGTTGATAATAAATTTTAGCTGAAGAAATGACTAGGCCAGTGGACAGAAAAAACCTAAAACAAATTTTAACCAAGGACTATGAATTTCTCATTGCTTTGACACAAGCTACATTCCCTGCTTATCTCACTCTTTATAAAATTCACTACTGAACTAAAAATAAGAAATGGCTAATGTACATGACAATGTCACAAAGCAAACAGAAAAGTTGTGAATATTTCCTTCTTCCTTTTCCACCCAAGGAATTAATGAATTGCAAATGAGACACTCAGGATACTTACCAAGTGAAGTACAAAAATGTTGATGAGCTTCAAGTGTCTTCATGCAGCGTTTGTTGCGCGTGTCCCATACCCGCAGACTTTTATCATCACTGGCACTCACAATAAATTTACCACCAGGATGGAATACCACACCACGCACCCAATTGTCATGGCCCACTAATGTGAATAGGCACATCCCAGTACCCACATCCCAAACCTAGAAAAAAAATAATGAAATATATTTCATCAATATCACATAAAAATATCTGAGAATAGAAATACCAAGCAAAACATTTATGAAGTAAGTTTTTTTCTTCCCTTTTGGTTTATCCTTCTACAGACCTTAAAAATCAAATCACTACCACCATTAGTCTGTCAATATCTTCCTTGAGCCATGGCCAGGTTTACGCTCTAGATATTAATATGGACATTTCTGTTTCCAGAGTATGTCCCTCACCAATTAGCAAAAATATTCTGGTTTTTATTCTTTCTGAAATTTAACTCTTCCATTTGTCACTAATTTATTTGTAACATACAGCTCTCTGCTTCCTTACTTCATGATTATTACATTTTATCTGTTGCACGCTTATCTTTCAGCTTATCTTCATAATCGCACATTAATTACTTATCCATATAGAACAGAAACAAAATCAGAAGAAGAAGAAGAAATTCATCTAAACTGATATTTAATCCAAATCTTTATATACTACAAAAACCCTCTGAAATTTATTTTCTAAGGTGCTTTCATTTGGTTCCTATATATTATGTTATTTGCGCTGGTTAAGCAATATAATCCCGCTATAATGTTTGCATTGTTTTTATCTCCTTTTTTATAAATTAGGATGATTAGACCTATCCTCCATTCTCGCATTGTTCATAATTATTACCTTTATGGTTTTATCTCTTGAGCCAGAGGCAAGAAAGGGACCAGCATGAGCTCCTTTTTTATTATCTGCTCCAGCAGCCTCATTAATGGCAGAACTGGCATTGTCAGGAGCCCAGGCAATGCACTCTACCACATGATCATGATCACGTAGCTCCACCTTGCATTCCTTGCTAGCTGTGGCCCACACACGAACAGTCTGATCATTGGAACACGATGCAATTAAAGATCCATCTGGACTAACACGGACCATACGCACCCATTCACGATGTCCCGTGAAAGTTTTTACACAGTAACTGCAACAATAAATCACTGATGATATATCATGGAATAATGATCATAGCAAACAACTTCAATGTTAAACTCCAACACGGGACAATGTCTGTCATTCTGACACACAAAGGATCGATGTCTGTCATTTTGACACATTGAATGGCATTCTGTCCTTTGGATACAATTAGGTTCCTCTCAAAAAACTTTTTCTTTTTTCCTTGTACATTGGCATTTAAATAATGGTTGAGTTTTGTTTAGCACTCATTCATACGAACAGCCAAAAAAACATCAAAAGTTCAGTCCCACACAAGATAATGACATGTATCAAAAGAAAATACAAACTGAAATGGGAAGTAGTTACAATGCAAATGAATCGTAATGTTGCAGTTATAAACTGTACCCAGGAAGGTCCTTACCCTGTTGCTACTTCCCACATCTTGATAGTCTTGTCCCTTGAAGAAGAGACGACAAAATCTCCACCGGGCATGAAAGTTACACTTGACACATTGTGGTCATGACCATGCATAGTTTTGATACACTCATAATTCTGGAAGTCCCACAGTTTTATAGTCATGTCTGCACTGCAGGACACTGGAATACAAGCAAAAGGTATTATTAATACAAGCCAATTCTTGATGCATTCAATGCTTTTCCAACGGCACTCAACGACGGGATGATTTCTGAACGATGACTTGAAAAACATGTGACAACTGCATGTGTTTCTAAGGCCAAATACATAAGACAAGAGCTCCAAAGATGATGGTGATGATGTAAATTTGCGCAGAGGAACACTTTTCCTAGAAGCTTAAAGAAACAATACTTACCAGGTGTCCTACGTGAGAGATTAAATGCGAGCGGTGCGAGTTGCGTGGGTGAAGTGGAAATATCAAATTGGCTGTTTGTGTGGCGCTGTCCTAGGTTCCAGCGAAGCGGCCAAGCCCGAGATCAAATATTTTGATATTTTCGCGCGAGTCGCTGCGCTGGCCAGTAAGACGCATGCGCAAGAAAGCTCTGACCATGTAGTACACAGAAGGTGCATGCGCAGGAAGGCCATGTGCTTCTATTACGGTCTCTCATGTAGGACACAACAAGCGATTCCCCACTTCATATGACACCCCATGCTGCTTATGCAGCTCGTAAATCTCGCTTGTTATTGGTTACGTAGGACATTGCCTTAATGTCAGGGTCATTAAGAAGTGCAAGTCAGTAAATAGTGAGCAGAATGTGAGACTCTCTCAAAGTCAATATCCACCTCACACGGGCGACTTGGGAGACTAACGAAAAATCTCAGAAACAATTTATGACAGATGGATGTGCTAACCTTAACCCTTTAAAAAATGAGTTTAATACTGATTTCTTCTGTTTGTTTTCCAACATGCCAACATTATTTCCAGTAATGTGAAACAAGAAATGGTTACATGATGCATCTGTTTATTTCCACAGACTTTATTAAACACAGAAATACTTAGCCTATCAGGAACTATAAATTAATAAATATAAATGGTATGATGTTAACACAAAATTTTATAAAAAGCTGCCATCTAGTTCACATGGGAGGGTAGACAGTGATACTCTACATAAAGTGAATGAAAGACATCTAACAGCCTCAAAATTAGCAGCCAACAACCACCTTTCTTTACAAAATACAACTTACAATATAAAAAGAAAAGTTTCCTTGTCTTCATCAACATGATTGGAAATCTTAAACTTTCCTTCATTCCCAAAAGCATTAAAAAGGGAAGGCTAAATTATTCTGAACAACCTGTAATCTGTGACTTATGCTTTTTGTATCATCAGAAGAAAAAATAATTACAAAAAAGAAACAATACTTACCTAGTAATTTACCAGTCTGATCAAAAGAAATATCTTGGACAGAGTCTGTGTGACCCTTGAGTGATTTCTCATATTCTCCAGTCTCAAAATCCCACACTTTTAAAGTGGCGTCTTCGCTTGCTGACACCATGACACTGAAAACTGGGTGGAATATAACCTGCAAAATAAAATATAAATCTATGAACTGTATCCACTGTCTTGAAATAAATATGAGGTTGTCAAATTCTGCAAACACAAGTAACATTTGTGAGCTTATCTGCAATCACAGTACGTTTTACTGTGATTTCATTTTAAGTGCCCCTGTTCTGATAGGGTAAATTCCAGTATGAGGCTTCACATTTGGATTGAAAACTTAGTAAATCTCATGATAATCATGCTCAGAATGAATGACTGCATCAGTCACATCCCTGTTAACAACTCACTGTACAGAGTATACATAAAAGAATGGTGCAACTGTGACTGGGGACTCATTTTTGGACATGTTATTTCTCACCTTACACGGGCACAACATACACCGTCAGCAGCGGCAACTGTCCAAGTTTCTCATACGCTACCAGCAATTCGCTTCTCATGCTTACTGCGTGGCCAGTTTCAAAGATGGCGTTGCAGCAGGAAAAGGTTTTCTGTGTGCTCCGTTTTGAGGAGTCCAGATCAGTGATTACAGTGCAGCGTGAGTTTCATGCACGGTTTAAAAAAGACGCACTGCACAAGAAAAACATAAGCAGGTGGTACCGACAGTTTGTAGAAACTGGATGCTTGTGTAAAGGCAAGAGTCCTGGTCGACCTCGTGTGTCTGATGACAACATTGAGAGAGTGCGTGAGGCGTTTCAGCGAAGTCCCCGCAAGTCAGTGGCTAGAGGAAGCAGGGAATTACATTCTACAACTGGACGGAGCTCCCCCTCCATTTTCACAGGAATGTACTAGTGCTTCTCAATCGTGTTTTTCCACAGCGCTGGATCGGACGTGCTGCTGCAAATGGAGACAACAACCTTCTCCCTTGGTCACCCAGTTCGCCAGATCTTACACCGTGCGATTTCTTTCTTTGGGGGTTCGTTAAAGACAGCGTTTATTTACCACCATTGCCCATGTCCATCCATGAACTTCGTGATTGGATAACGCAAGCACTGCAGGCCATTACAGCGGACATGCTACACCGGGTGTGGATGTGTGTCATGTGACCCAGGGTGCACACATTGAAGGATTGTAATTAACGCACGAGAAACTTGGACAGTTGCCGCCGCTGACGGTGTATGTTGTGCCCGTGTAAGGTGAGAAATAAATTCTTTATCAACTCTTGAAACCGCACCATTCTTTTGTGTACAACCTGTATAATACCACTTCAAAATTTACCTTCGTAACAGGCGCACGATGACCTGAGAGGCAGTATTTCTCCGGTGGCCTTGGTATCCATTCAGTAGGGGATCGTTTACCTCGTGTAGGAGCACCTTCAATAAATTCCTTCTCTGCTTCAGACAATTTAGATTCAAGTTCCATCACCTTAAAACATTACAATATTAAATAACGCTGAAGTCGCTTTGAACACAACGTTAAGACTGCACGTGAGAACTCGCAAGTTCTTGCACTGCTCAGTTTTAACACATTCTTCCATGCCAATTAAAAAGTAAAGTTTGTCCCGCAAAGTGCCATACTGGCGCTCGGGGTGAGTGGAGGTATAGCTCCTCTCTTCCTTGACCTCGGCACTAGATGGGGGTAAGTGGTCAGCATCATGCCCCAGCCGGCTTTACCCGCGGTACCCATTGCAGAGGAGGCTGGGTCGGCCCCGGTCGTAGAGCCCATAGCTAGTCACTATACTGAATGAGCTATCCCGGCTCATTTCCATGCCAATTACCAACATCAATATGAGGTTGAGTTTATTGTGATGTGGGTCTCAAAGCTACAAACTGTTTAAATGATAATTGGTTTTTGCAGAGAAAGATGGCTAGCGTTGTTCTACTGATTAAAAACTAGTTCCTGTACACTGTCTCCACGTATCACTGAATATCAAGTCATAAAAATAGAAGGAATGAACGACAGCGTCTCCCATTCATGTGACTATGTTTTGTTTCTAAAATTGTAGTTGCTACTCGCGGAGAAGAGATTTCAAGACGTAAGGGTAACTGTAACTTTGCAGAATCATATCAAAGGGGAAGTACACTTAAAGGAGATGGTATACCTGTTAAATACATTAAGTTCAACATAAATTTAGTCAGCAACTTGTACCATACCTCCTATGAGCTGTAAGAGTCCAGTAAGTATAATTACATTTAACGACTAAGGTTTACTCCTGTACTTACTTGTGAACATTGCCCACCACAATTTAAATACGTAATGCAAGAAAAGTTTAATATAAGCAACGTATAATGATCGTGTCACTTTGGGTACACAGCCGCAGAAAAGACAGCTACTAACACACCTTTTTCTGTAATCTGATAACAGAGGTCCACTTCTTCTCAAGCAGACCCCCATACTTCCTCTCCACTTCTCCTGGCATGTCTGCTTCCTTTTTGAAAGCTTCCAGTGCATCCATGTATCCATTATTGCTCAGATAGTCTGCAATCGCTTTATTTCTGGAAAACAACATCGACCACAGAACAAATCAACGGCAGTCAACATTATGCAGGGTGGGCCATGACTCCACATTTAAATAACAACATCAGTTAGGATTTTTGCTTCATATCCAGGAGGTCCTGGGTTCAAATCTCGACATGGAACCAGCATTTATGACTAAATTTGTCATTATTTTAACATTAAAATAAGCTTTTAATGAGTTTCTGAGCAAGATATCATAAAACGAGTAGGTTTAATATTTCAGGTACCTCTGAAACTTTCTTTGTGTCTGGGTTAGGACACCACTAGCAGATGTATAAAATTTAAAATTCAAACCGAGAAACTGGATATACTATAAAGAAGAATGCATTTTAATTATTATATATAAACACTTCTATGGCAACGTTTTCGTTCCATTTTCGTTTTATGTGGGCAATTATTTACATAGGTAAATTTCCTGTTAAATGTTTACAGCAGAAGTAGGCGACATCCAGGGCCTCCTCGCGTGCCTCACAACTGCAATTCTTACATTCAAACTGGGATTTGTTGCTGCTGATGGGAGGTTATCCTGTCAGGCAAGTTGTCGAAGGAATTTGGTTGGTTGGGTCTCTGGGGTATGAACCCAGAGAGGGTGTTACCGTAGTTTGCTTTACACGTTCTTTTATATTAAAAACAGACAACAATGACGAAGGGTTTGAGAAAGTTTTCGATAAAAGCCTATGAAGAGAAAACGAGACATTTCTAAAAGTCTTCCACAAAATGCTATTGTTTACGGTAGATTCAATGTGTACTGTTCGGTCACGTTATCAGTCCTCATTGTTTCTGCGTAATTGACAATAAAAAATTAGCCTTGCGTGAACTGGGTGAGCCAGTTCCAGAGAGGTAGTTTTAAAATCTTAAGAGGCCTCGCTAATCAATCTCGTCCAGGGCCCACTTCCGCTTATAAACTAATTCATTTTTATATTTTTTCCCTGAACAACGGAATACAAAGAAAACTGAATGAATGATGAATATATTTTCGAAACGTCTGTCTTTAATAGACGCTTCTTTTAAAACAACTATTTTCTCTACGGTAAAACCCCTCTCCGATATGCAACCAACAAGCCACAATACATCTCCTCCTACTACACTTGTCGCCACGGCAACCAGAGTTTTCCCAGTAGCTCCGATCAATAACAGTGCAAGATGACGTCAAAACGGTCCAGAAGCGGAAGATCTGCCTCGGCGTCTTGTTTCACAACAGCTCACACGAGATATATACGGCCAACTACAGTGACCTGTATTCTAGGTAAGCATACGGTAACATAAAGATGACTCTTGTGGGATATTGTGCCGCGTAGTCTGGCAGAACTACCACGCCACTTGGACGCAACACCCCACGTCTTTCAGTAATAATAATGAAAAAGAGTCTGCATGCAATATGGTTTCACGTCCCGCTTTATTTCATTTCTTTGTTTAACGATGCTGTCAGTACCACTGGATTATTATTGAATATTGAACTGGAGAGGCTTTGGAAGAAAGCTGTAGCAAGTTAATTTGGACCCACGAAAGCCACGTCAGGATAGCCAGCCGAGCTGCTTGGGACGACAATCAACGCGGCTAAGCACATATTTATACCAGTTGAAGCCAATCGAAAGAAGAATCCTATTAAAGTGAGGACGAGGCTCAAGACGCCATGACACGACGCCGGAAACTTGACGCTGAGCGTGTCGATACACCTGTCGTCTCGACGCAGACACATGATTCCGAATAAAGAGAATACGAACCTAGGGATGCCATACGATATGACGCTGGCACCCGACGCCGGAAACTAGACGCTTATTGTCGCGAGGTGGTCAATTATTAACGTTTCTCTTTCCCAGAGCAAAACAATCTAATCTAATCAAAATTCAAACCGACCCAGAACAAAATTTGAAAGTTGTAATCCATACAGGAACACATGAATGCGTCCTTTGCAAATTCTGAGGGAACTTTTCAATAAAAGATTACGTCAGTTATCTGTCTGACATAACTTTAATTTCCGAACACACAAATCATGTGATCTTAATATCTTTTTAAATCAATAACATACGATGCCATGTTGGTGTTACCGACTGTAGGGAATTTCAAAACACGCGTCTAGGCTATACCACAATAGCATAACGTCCATTTTATTTATCATTTTATTTATTGTTCTGTCTGACGACAGGTCCATATGGACAGGATCCTTCCATCCTTTTCTCGGACTGGGACCTGTTCATATACGTTCTTGGCAGATGATCCAGAAGTGGTTTGCTATTGCCTTCTTCTGTGTGTGAATGGAGTAATTGTTGGAAGCCCCCGGAGGAAAACTCCGTGTTGCCTAGACCACGGCCTTGCCCAACACAAGTTATAAATTCGGGCACCACCGGGAATTGAACCCGAGACCCCAGGATTGCAAGGCCAGCGTTCTAACCGCTAGACCACCGTGGCTGCTATAACGTCCATACCAAATTTCATCAAAATTGTCGCACAGTTCTGCTATTGAATCATACAGACAGACAGACAGACAGAAATGACCAGCCCCACAAGCGTTCGTTCCACGCACATCGTGCAGGGCCGCGTAATAATGAACGTGGCATGTTTTAGGTATAAAACCTAATTGTTAGCATTACATTCTTTACGCAAAGCTTCACGAGCGCGTGACCTTTGTGGGATGAAACAGATTTGTGGCCTTCACGTCGTTTTAACGAACGGCAGGGCAACTTCCCAAAGGGAATACAGTGAATGGTACGTGTTGGGCACTGCCGCCTGAAAATACTGAAACACGTTACGAGAGTAAGATAATAACTCTTAAAACTATTTCTGCAGCTTCTGTTTGACGTCTGTAGTTACATAAACAATTATATGACGCCAGTCTTAACGCACGTCCACTTGTACGTGATTCATTAGATTTCGTTGCCACAGAGGGATATTTAATCTCCAAGTATTAATAAACTACATGAAGCAGTATTTGCATGCCAGACGTTGTTAATTAATCGAGTCCCCCCACCACCACCAATTTCATTTGTAGTGTCCTTGAACTCCTGCCAATTGCCTGAACATTGTAGCGGGCCCTAGTTTTGTCATAACCCCTTTTCACCCCACCTCATCCATCTCGTAGTTGTCTCCCATCGAGCAGAGATCGTTTATGCTCCATACAAACTTCATGAAGCAGTGAGAATATCGCGACTTAAAACTTCATCTCACTAGTCCTGGGATGCATGATCGCAGAATTAATAGCGGCTCACGAGACTAATGAAACCTGTGGTGTCCTACTGCAGCGAGCAGTGCAAGCAGATGGTGAAAGTGGATCTTCCTTTCAGAAGCATCCTCTGCGATGGCAACGTTTAACGGGCTCAACAAAGCAACAAAACCCATCAGAGAACCAGCGTTTATTTAAATGTTTACATCTACACAGATACGGAACGCGGGGCTAAAACTTGTCAAGCTCACAGCTGTAGGCGTACGACAATTCTTATTCAAAGAAATTACGGCGAGTATGAAGAAGTTTTGTCTTTCTGGGTTGTTGTGCCCTGTAGTTTGATACATTTTTACGTCGGTAACCTTGTAACAGACTGCACCTTCAGAAAAATCCTTGCTTGACATCAACGGTTCAACGTCTTCGGTTTATAACACTGTATCTGCTTCTAAAAACATATACGTACACGTGTCGAAATTTCGTATTCTTAAAGATAAAAACCTGTTGTTAAAAAACTAATATCCTTTTTTTTACATTAAACCGTTTTCGAGAATGTTAATGAAGTTCAACCTGCGCTTTATGGTGGCTAAATTAGGAATTCCAATAGACTAGTACCAACCAAAATCAAATTTGACAATTTTTACTCACAATGCAATATTTTATATAAAAGTCGTCGAGTAGCATCTGACATTTCGGCGGAAACAGTACATCCCCATTATGAGTTAATTCTACCAATTTTCCGCAATCAAGGCACAAAAGCATTCTCACAAGTCAGCCCACGGCGATCAAGCAACTCTTCCGTCAGTGGAAACAGAATTGGGCAGACAAATTGCATCTTCAGAGGACAGAAGCCGCGAGCCTTCGATGCGGTTGAGGGGATCCTTAAATCACGATTTTATAAAAGACCACGGACCTTGGACACGAGGAATAACGGAGAATGTATTTAAATGAAAAAACATCTGCTCTGTAGGTGCGTGGTTTAAATTCACTGGGGTGTTTCAACTCCTGTGTGGTAAGAATAAAAGCTCGCAGAAATTGAATGCAGTAATCTTGTTCGAAAGCTCACGGACTGGAATGGATCTGATTGTGGCTGAAGTTCATTTCCTCCCATCTTCATTAAAAATACACGATTCTACGTGAACAGTGTCTTTCTCAGAGTTTGTGCGTCACAAGGACCATCAGTGCTTTGCCCCTTGTAGAATTAGAAATTATTCCTTTCTACGAAAGATTACAATTCTTGATAGACGTCCTTTACGCGAAAATAAATTCTCCACTGACTTAAAGAGAGCAGCACTTTTCCAGAGATTAAATCAAGGAGCTCGGGGCACGCATCCCGGAGACAAATGTATGAGACCTAGATGTGAGGTCGTGCACACGTGAACCGGACTGAACAGACCCAGGATAAACTCCAGTGTAATGACCATCATGAACTTTTGGCTTCATACCAGGAAATGCCTTTACTATTCTTTCTTCCTTTATTTTTTTAATTTATTTTTTCAGTCTGAGGAGAAAGCGGCCATGATGTCATTACTGGTCTTTCTTTCTCATTTTTTCCCTTTTCTTTGTTTATCGCCTGTTTTATTTTTCCCTTCTCTCCTTCCAGCGTTTTCTTTCACTGCTCGTACCTACTCATTAAGCCAAAGACACGCCTTTAAATAATTTTCGAAACTAATTTATTTATTCCAACTGAGCTTCATGCTAGTTCTTACTTTAACTTCAAATAGTGTAAAAGTGAGCGACACAGGTCTCCAAATATCCATACGAAAGTGCTGAATTCAAATGAGTAAATAGGACTGTCCTTTGTTAGCATGTTACAAATACAGCTGATATTCAAGTTCGGTTTGGTTAGGGGAGGACAGGTCACGTTAGGTTACGTTACGTCAATATATTGTTTAACTTTGGTTATTTGTTGGTTCGATCTGGTCACGTCTTTTCAGCTCAGGTGAGATTTCGTTTTCCGTGTGACCAGTTTTCAAAGTTTCAAGTTTTCCAGGTCGCCAGAATTCCAGCGTTCCGTGTCTAAAGCATTCCATGTTTCCTGCGATCGACCTTTCCAACATACCATGTTTATCATGGAGGAAACATAACATAACTTGTCACAGTGGTTGCACACAGGACGATTCCTTCGATGAGGCAATGAAACACCCTCCATTGGGACAGGCAGTACAGCAGAAAATTTGCTTTTGACACGCACTAAGTGTCACTATGCGATAATTAAAGGTGATATCGCCACAATTCTGATGTAAACTGTACACATTGTAATATTGAATGTAGCACCACCTATGGCGCATCGTCTGATGCGAATCCCGCCGTATAAAAGATACGAAAAGAATACAGTGTCTGGCCAAAGCTGCTGACGAAGCAAAACATGACTCATCAGGCTTCATCCAACGAGTAAAACTTACACACAAAAAACTACGAAACTAGTTTCAAGTACTAGACGCATAAACAATGCCTAGTGGTACAAAGAACGAATCTGTAATGCCCATTTTCTTCTGTAATGTTCTCGCATTTCTATGACATCCTAATTACCTTTCGAATAAAAACTCTGTTCGTAAAGAAACCTTTGAGGCCTCTCGGATTCCCACATTTTACAACAAAACACAGCACAGACATGTTACAGTCATGTCAGAGTGTGTGTCCCTAAACGTGTTCTAGCCAGGAGACGGATTTTCGCGAAGCCACTAAAGGTCGTATCGTACTTTTCAATTTTCTTCCACTAACAACACCGATTTCTGAGGTAATGCGAAGAACGGACATGTCTCAGCTACATGGGCATATTTATCTCTACAGGTTTCTAAAATATTACTCAAATTATGAAAATAATGAAAACAAGTCATGAATACAATCTGATGATACAGCACAACAGTACAAACCGCATTAACCTAGCCAGTCTGGCCATCTGACAATAAATAACGAAAATGCAACGACAAATTGTTTCCTTCCAATCATATTTCTTAATCTTGTGCCATCTTCCATTCCTCAATCCCTCCCACCATCTTGCTTCTAGTCGAGGGCTTGTTTATACTTCTACTTACATAAGTTACACCTACGACGTAGCACATCTGCACCAAATACACATGCTAACTAACAGTTTAACTTCAACGTGACTTTCAGGCATGATTCGGCTATTCTATGAAGACAATACATGTCATGTGTCACATTCCGGAACACGCAGATAAGCGGTGGACAGAAAATTTACGTCGTGATTCAACTTACAACTCCTCCCGCTGCCGTTGTGACAACACCATTTTCATGATCCGGTGCGGGTTGGACGCTGAAATTCTGCGATCTTCCTACAGCTCCATTACCTAGAACGAAGAAATGAAAGTCTGTGAAACAGTGAGTGGTTCGTACTTACACTAAACAAAATAATATGAAGTCTTGACGCTGCTACGAAGAAAGAGAACAACCCTGCTTTGCCGGGAATCAAACCCTGTCGTCCAACTCCTAGCTTCAACGCTATACTAAATGAGTTATTTCGGTTCCCTCGAAGAGCGAATAGTTCCCCACACCTCTTCGTAACAAAACAGATTTACGCCTATTACTTAAAACAGCTAGTAGCATCCACACGACCACGCATAATTATTGAATCCATTTTCAACCACAAAATAAAAATCCTCCTCCATAAATTAATAACTGTCCATGTACAAAGGTATAATCTCCCTTCAACACAAATAATGCCACTTAACTTAAGAACATTATTTAATTATTCGCACTGGCAAAAGCACAAAGTATCGAATGCATTTCACCTTTCGAAAATGGATTTACTCACGCACATCACGTTCCGTGATGCAAATGAATCACTTTATACAAGTCAAAGTACTTCTAAGCATGTGAGATACTTTCCCACGTTCTTGGAGATAACAGCAAAGAGAACTCACTTACTGAACCAACGTCACAGATGTTACTGGAAAAAAATATATATAAAGAACCACTACGTGATACGAAGTCTCCTGAATGATAAGGCTGAATTTGTAAAACGAAAAGGCGAACTTCTCCCACCTGACGGCTGAATTTGTAAAACGAAAAGGCGAACCTTCTCCCACCTGACGGCTGAATTTGTAAAACGAAAAGGCGAACCTCCCACCTGACATTCCTACGAGGCCAATTACAGCAATAGAGGGCATATATATACACATAGTGGCGTATTAAAGAGTTCAGTATGTATTGATCGAAACATTCCTCGCATTCTGGGCACCAGGTAGGAATGTATACTTCGTTTCCAACGGACGCGGACGTAGTGATCGGGCGTCTTGCTAGCAGCCTGAAACTGAGCGGTCGGCGTCTGTTAGTGAACACAAGACGTGAAACATGGGATCTCACAGGGGAATAACACGGAATGAAGAAGTTTGGGAAGTGTCGAGGAGAATATTTTACACATCGCCCAGTTTTATAATTTGTGCTGAAATGGACGATGAAATGGCTACAGACTACACCGCGCATGGGGGGGGGAAATGAGAAATACGTTCAGGAATTTTGGTGGTAAAACCTCGAGAAAACGTTACTTCGAAGACCTGCTGATAATTTCGACTTCAGAGAACTGTTCCGCGATGCGGTTTTGCGAACGTACTGATGCATATGAAGCGATTTTATTGGGGTCTTCAGCATATGAAAACGCATAATTCACTTTCCTTTCCTAGGGCCAAGAAATCCCTCCATGCACTATTTTAGAAAATTAATAGCTACTTTTAGTTATCGTTAACAATTCTTATTCGCAAATGACAAATTACAGTAGTAAATAATCAAATATACATTGAACTGGAATGTGCACAAATCACCTTTTAGTTACATAACCGGCCTGTATTAAACAGATAAAAATTAATAAATAATTTCGAGGCCCCGGCTACAAGAGGCATCGGGCCGGACAGGGCCCGCAGGCCGCTAGTTTGATAACGTTGACGTACTTATATAAAACAACATAAACACGATTTACCGTCCTGAAGTGGACGCCTCAGAGAATATCTAGGGAAATAAAGATTTACTCCCAATAATTATTATGCATTATCTATGACAATACGATAATCATGAAAATGCAGCAAGGATGCTCGTCAAAACTCTCACATCCGAAGTCATTCTGTTCCGTTTAGAGGCTCCTCCCAGCCTCGCTTTCACTTGTACCCCATAGATCTGAGATCAAGAACGAAAAAGTTGCTGAGACCGCAAAACGGAAGATTTCTGCATTCGCCATACCTGGTCGGGTATTCAAATATTGGCTCAATACAATTTTTGCGTGAATTCACTATTATATTATAATATAGTAAAATTTAAGTCATTCTCAGTATATTCACATTTCACCTGCAAAGTAAAGGCACTAACTACAGGACGCAATATACTGGCAGCCATAATATTTCTTACAATATATAATTTTGTACGGCACTGCCAGATTATCTAACCCTACAGCAAAAACAAGGCATGTACCAGCTGTTATATCCAAGTGATATGTAAGGCTGTAACTTCGCAGCGATAAGCAACATAATCAAGGTCTTCTTAAAAGAACAAAACTTTATAAGCGAACTGCAGAGATTGTGTAAAATGGAATGGCCACGAGTAGCAGATCGACGTGAATTTAAAAGAAGTGGAGTGTTTAGAATTAGTAATTCACTGAATATGTTCCAGGGACTGCGAAAAATCCAACAGGGCGCCTCGTGAATACATGAAACTTTTACCTGCCCAATAAATACCAATGCAACAGCACTGCCACACCTGTGTCAGTACCAAACAAGTCGTGGGAAGCCATACAAACATCGCCAACCTATTAAAGAGCTTACGTACTGCACAAATGAAAATACAATGAGTCACCTCGCTTATGTCAGCGCTTCTGTTTTCTTACACACGATATGGAAAGTTATCGATTGATACTTCGTTACCTGAAAACTACGACGCTTGAAAAACGCAGATTTAAATTTTTTCGTTAAGGAATACGTTAAAAAGATGGGAATAAATTAAAATGAAATGGTTTTCACGTTCGCGCCATTTATCGAACAAACTAACGTATTTTTAGTATTTAAAAATGGCGCCTTGCTGCTGGGGTCTTGAATAAACAGCGTCTTTTTCGTACTTTTCAATAACAATATGACGGCCGGACAAACTTCTAGGAGAGACACTTGCTGTAAGATTGTAATATATTTGTTGTAAAATACGGTACCAAATACACATCTTAAGTCCACGACATTTTTTAACACATGCAGTGGTCAGGCGAAATCTGAACGCAGTCTGGAGAACGCAGATATTCGTACAAATAAGCCATAAGAGAAATACTAAACTAAAACAAAGGCAAATTCACCTTATTCATATTCATCGCCCTGATGACGGAGGCAGTATGACCTCTGAAACGTTGGTTAACATAGACCAGACTACACAGCGCAACAACCCAGAAGACAGAAATATTCATACTCTGATGACGGAGGCAGTATGACCTCCGAAACGTTGGTAAACATCGACCAGACTACACAGCGCAACAACCCAGAAGACGGAAATCTTCATACTCACCGCTGTGAGAACCTCAAGTCAAGGCAAATTCGTTTCACTGCGAATTTAAAGTCATAACATTTCGTCTGAAGTATAAATTAACCTACTATCAGTCCTTTGAGTTAAATAACAAATTGCACCAATTACATGGATGGCAGCGTTTGATGAACGCCTTGCTTACATCACATTTAGCAAAACTGGCTAAGTATAATGTTGCATGATGCCAATGAACACCTGACTTTGCTGGCTTCATGTCGCCGTATTATCAAGTCCACTGTCTTCAAGTCACTCTGCTGTAAACAAACTTAAAATTTACGTTTATGTTACAATGTTAAAAGCAGACGAGTAAAACGGAACAAACGATAACTTACACAGTTCTTGTTCCTGTAATGCACAGACGTACGGTTACATGTGCAATACATTATCTCCTTCTTGCATTCAATTATAAGTACAGAGAGCCATTGACCGTATCCGCGTGTTTAAATGCAATCTAATTACACCTACCCCATGTTCCTGAATCCTTCTTGAAACGCTAGTAAGCCCTTAGCTGATGAAGAAATTCCCTGCCTTTTACTTAACTCGAAGGTTCATTCTGTGTTCCTCACAGTACCATCACTGGTCCCTATCCCTAGTCAGATGAATCCAGTCCACGCCCTACCACAACAGTTATTCTAAGATACATTTTAATATTATCCACCCATCTATAACTGAAACTTCATTCAATTTCTGCAAGACTGCACGGTGCAACATCTCAGAAGACGATCATCTGCAGACTTACCGCCGTGATAACCTGAAATCCCAAGGCTGGCGTAGCTTACTTTATCGCAAAGCACAAAACACAAGAATCATTACTAATAACATTAATAATAACTAAACCACGAAAGGGTTTCTGGGAAACTCACATGAAGTTCCATCAGATCAAACATACGTAGGCCTGTGCAGCTTTCAAAATAATCTTATCACTGCAGGCTCTCTGAACATGGCTACGATACGACCAAATAATCTAAAATAAATCAGCACAAGCACAGCTCAAACAGACAAACATACGAATGTAAAACAAAACCAATAATCTGCTTCCAATCTTACGAAATTCTGCTTTTACATCCCAATTTGTAGGAATTCTAGACTACGTGCATTACACGTGAGTCGGAGAAGTTGCCGAATTGGTACGGCGCCTTTGATAAAATGGATTCAATTCGGTTTAAGCACTTTACTGGTGCAGACAACCCGATACCAAATTTAAACGAAATCCATGAAGTAGATTCGTATGTGAAACATGTGGATGGACGTGCAGACACTATCTGCCCGAGCAGTGAAGTAACTTGTGTTCAGGCCAATCAATAAAGCAAAGAAGGGTGTGACTGCAGACACTTCAACGGCACATTAACGAATGTACCGATTTACACGTTTCTGTCTGCATTACATTTCATCTCCCCGCAAATAAAACTTTTACAAATTAATATTGGGTACGTCAAACCGCAACAGCAAAATATGGTCATTACTCAAGTGGAGGAGAGGAAAGATAAGCCAGTCAGTCCATTCATTAGGATTTGAGACTTTCGAGTACAATCAATAAAATCTTCTCGGGCAATCAGCCGCGTTAACTGGTGTCGGAAGTCACCAGGCGACTTCCGAGGTATCCGGCCAAGAATGTGTAAGGAACCGGACTCCCCGGATGAATGGTTCTGGTCTGTTCCACAAGGCTGAGATCTATCGAAGTAAAAATGATTAATCTCAAACTCCAAACCAGACGTCAGCGAAAGAAATAAAGCACGGCTTAAACCCAGAAAGTAACAAATACAAGAAGTCCCAAGAAATGAAAGCGTTATCCAATCGTACA